ACTAAATAGTGAAAAACAGGTGAAAGGTGATTTCATGTTTCTTAAGCCATAATGTCTTTTCATTTTGAGGGACTTGTTACTTATCTCTTGTATTCTTACTACGTCTATGTAAAATACTTATGAATGACAGTGTTTCACAGAATCATAGAACGGCCTGGGTTGAAAAGGACCACAATGATCATCTAGTTTCAACCCCCTGCTATGTGCAGGGTCACCAACCACCAGACCAGGCTGCCCAGAGCCACATCCAGCCTGGCCTTGAATGCCTCCAGGGTTGGGGCATCCACAACCTCCTTGGGCAACCCGTTCCAGTGTGTCACCACCCTCTGTGTGAAAAACTTCCTCCTAATATCCAACCTAAACCTCCTCTGTCCTGGCATAAAACCAACCCACCTATCACTATCAACTCATGTAAACAGTTGGTTATCTGGCAATGGCTCACCATTTTTTGATTGTCTAAGTTGTTAACAATGAAGTTAATATTTCAGAGCATGGTTTGTCAACAGAAATGACTTTGTGCTCTGAAACTTATGTTTTTAATATATGCGAAAGGATTTCTTTCTATTAGGAAGGTAGTGCATTGGCTGCAATGACATAAGAAAGGGGCACAGGAAAAGAATTGATCTGATTTCTTATGCTGAGCAGTAATAAAATTGAAGGGCAAAGTGATAACTATATCTGCTAATACAATCTAATTCTGGCAGGCAGTCTCACTGATTTATGGTGATCAGTTCACTCTTGGGGTTGTTGGCACCAGCAGATTGATTGTGTTCTCATGACCATCCCAGAGGCAGACAGGATGACAAACTGGAAAATGGATGCAGCACCACTGCTGTGTTACAGCAGGAGAGATCACTGGAGGGATTTCCTACCCTGCAGACAACAGGACAGAGCACTTGCCTGAATTGAAGGTTGAATCCAAACAATAGGCTTGTTTATGCACAGCTTTCTCTTTTGCAATTCAAAGTCTTTCTTCTGTTGTCTTTCTGATTTTTTGGCGGCAACTAACAATTCTCCTCTGCATTTGTTTTACTCACTCTTCTGCTGTAACCCCAGCTTCAACTGAGATGATGCCAGGGGATCCAAAACAGCCCAAGAAGAATTAGACTGAAGAGGAGAACTCCAGCTGACTGCCTGTTTGAATTGATGTGCAGGGAACAAAACCTGTCCAGCAAAAAACAGAGTAGATAGGGAGCACAGGGACCCAGTTATTACCAAAATGTCTTAGTAGTGCAGTTGTCAAAGAGACATGTAAATAAATTCTTTGACAGTATTCATATCCTTGTTGGCCAGCCAACAGCCCAGGGATATGGCTAGAAGTCTGCTGTACAACTCCTTGACCTGCACCAGGTATGGGTCCTTCAGCCCTCAGGGCTCATCTCCCCTCCCCGCCTCACGGCCATCAACCAGCAAGGGGCAGCCATGCTGACAGGATCCTCAATGTTGCTGTCAGCATTTGAAGGGCAATGCTCTTGGAGCTCCTGGCCATAGAGAAAGTGCTGCAGAAGCTACTCCAAGTGCTCATGAACCTTTCAGTGAGGCACACACCCCACCCACCAGGCACAGGGCACTTCTCCCTACCCTGGGTGTGAGTTCCTCACTCGCCTGTCTGAGCCTGAGTCCCTGATCCCATTCTCTTGTCTACCCCAAAGCCTTGTCCCTGGCCATAGACCTGCCTGGGGGATCTCCCTCCCTGACTGTCCCTCCATCCCTACAAGTCTCCAAATAGGCTGGACCATCCCCAAAACATTCCAGCTGCCTCTTGTCATGTCATGAAGGTGGTGGAGGCCATTTTCCCACAGCTCTTCCTGATTCTTTTTTTTCTTTTTATTTAAACCAGCGTCCTTAACCACAGAGCTGATGCTGCAGAAGGTGGAAATCTGGAAGGAGCCCCATGAGAACCAGCTTGCTTCCATCGCATGCCATATTCCCATCGTCCTGCTGCGGCTCCCTGTGTGACTCCGCCTGCAGGTCCATTATGGAGTCCTTGAAGATGCAGCATGAACCTCAAGAGCCTGATGGAAGACATTCAGGAGTAGGGCAGCTGAGACGCGCTTCTCAGTGCTGCAGCCCACCTCCAGGATGTGCAGGATGTGGCCAGGTGAGAAATCCTTCCTCCCTTGAGGTTGCAGGAGTATCCCCAGTTCTCAGAGTAAGCGCTGCCACAGCACCAGTTTTTGTGACTCCTGGGGGCATTAAGAGCTTCCCCTGTCCCTGTTCCTCAATGCTGAGCCCCAGGGAACAGCTGGGATGGCTGACAGATCAGCCAGGGTTGATAGGACGGCACAAAACAGATTGGCAAAAGGCTGAGAGAAAGGACACCTACCAAGATGAGCAGGGGAGGGGGATGTCAGGACAGCCCGCAGGCAACGTGCCTGTCCCCTGCTCCCTCCTGCTGGTGGGGAGAGCTGGGGGCAACGGGCCAGCAGTGGGCCAGGGAAGATCCTTTGCTCCCACCCTGCAGACGTACTACGCCAAGGAACGCAGACAGCCCCATAGACAGCCCCACACCCCACCAAGGCCCAGCCCTCCCGGCCTGGTCCACGGGCACTGCCCTGCCAGCCACCACCACTCGGCAGCACTGCCCTTAGATGGCAGCCCCCAGGGCGAGCCTGAACCGCAGCGCTCTGCAGTGGCTGCTAAAAGGCAAGGTTCAGGAAATGGAGGCACTTCCAATACCTGAATATAGCGGCTTTCCCATATCTGAACAGGGCGTACAAGAAAGCTGGGAAAGGACTTTTGAGAAGGGCATGTGATGGGGGAGTCTGATGGTGACAGGTACAGGCAGATGTCCCACATTCAGCAGGAAATTAATATTCAGAATTAAGATTCTGAAGAGAACTCCATTTCACTTGGTCATTTTCATTACAGAGAAATTCAAGGATATTTTCAAATAAATTATTCTGTAAATTACTACAATGCTGAGCGTGCAACTCATCTATAAACACAATTTTACAAAGAGCAAACCTCTGTCTGCTTGAATGGGAGGAGTCGCAGAGAATTCATGCTACAGCAGGATCCTAAAGTCATAAAAATTAGTAAATTTATTAATACTAGAAATTAAGAAGTGAACAATTCATGTACAGAATTAGAAGTGACCACAACAAAAAATGCCACATATAAACCAATTTATTACATTTTGGCAAGTTCCACACAGCACGAGCAAGGATCTTCTGCCCACTCTATTAAAACATTCTTTTTCTTTACACAGATTGTAAACATAATAAACAGCACAAACTGTTAGTACAGGCATTGCAGGATTCTGACATCTTCCTCTTACCAATTAGAAAAATGAGAATCCAACAAACCAAAGAACTTCTTTCACAAGGTATCTACGAAAAGCAGCATATGCTTTTGTGTCATGCCAATTTGAAGCAACACTGAGAATAATATTTGAAATTATTATTTTTAGCAAAACTCATAGTGGTATTATGAATAGAGACATCTTTTTCGTTAAAAACGTGGTTTCATACAGGCAAGGTAGTAAAATTCTGCAGTGGAACAGCTGCTGTAAATAGAGCTACATTTGCTGTACTATGTCTGATAAATAAAAATGCAGCAAATTCTTGATCTTGTTAATACATGGTTACCTAAACCATTCTAAAAAACTCTTAATATGTGTTCTGCTTGTTCAGCCAGCACCTCTTTGCCCCCCACAGACCTCTGCTATGACTGCTTTTTTATTTTTACTTTTCCCTCTCTCAAAGTGTTTAATTCAGACAGAACCTGATCCATAAAGTGAACAATTATCTATTTGATTAAGAGCAGATTTGCAATTTTTAAGTCCTATGAACATGTATCCACTGGCTAAATTCATCAAAAGATTACAATGTGTGCACTGTTACCTCATAATCTGCAACTGAGTGCAAACATGTTTAAATCTGACAAGAACTGCCTTTTTCCAAAGCAACTTACGGGCACTAAGATAATGCAGACAATTATGATGTTATAGGCTATGGCTTATAGATCAAAATGACTTCTACTATTAAGAAACAACTGATTGCATTACAGTTTGATACCAGTTTTGGAGTCATAATTGACTCCAAAATAGACAAAAATCTACATTTCCAATGTAAAAAGACAAACAAAAAAGTAAAACACAAGCCTTTCAAGTCTTCTCTGTGCATAAAAAGGAAAACATAAATTATTTTGCATATCACATTTAAAGTTACTGATGTAAGAGAAGGTGGTTATTTTTACACTTGTATGCAACCAGCTGTTTTAAGCCTTATAAAATACTGCATTTTAGGCCACGCATAGATCAGCAGGTCCTTGCATGATGAGTACAGGTAAAGTCTCACTACCTGAACTAAGGAAACTGAGGACCTGTTTGTAAGATTTCTGTACCACCAAAACACACAGATGAAGGATAAACAGCACAGCTGACTCATCCATGTTATGATGTACAGTCATTAGCAACAATTCTCTACCTAAGAGATTCAGTACTAGGAACAGCATCAACAGCATCCTACAGCAAAATAAAAGTAAAGCCCTCAGATCTTGTAAAAAACTTGATAAAAGCCTGTAAAATTTTAAGACACTTTTTGTGACACCTTCAGTCAAGCTCTTTCCTGCCCAAATAAAGGGGATCCCTAATATATTGTTAAAGCTAGATTCTGATGGAACTAAAATACAGCAAACAATACTCCATCAGTCTAAACAAATCAATTATTTTGAAGTCCTCAACTCTTCCATGATCATGAAAATCTCCAAGAAATAATGCAACAGAAACCTATCTAGTAACCTTAATTCTTTAGCATATTTCAGATTAACCATTTGCTGCTGAGTATTTTCACAGTGATGAAGTTCTACGAAAAGAAAAACAAACCAACCAACAGAAAAAGAGTTCTGACCTACACAGTCAGTATTTTAGAGATTTTCTAAATATGATTAATACCAACAAGTTCAAAATACTGTGGTGTTTGGAACTTTTTGTTTCCGTGTTTCAAATAAAGAGCTGTTTATGATTCCCAGCAGAGCCTCAAACATCTTTTTTTCCATTTTTTATCCATTCCAGTTAATTTTACTTTCTAGTCCATCTAACAGCTGTCTGGAGCCCAACATATCAAGATGCAATTGTTACTAACGTGGATTTTTTAATACTAGCTGCCATTTTCTGTAGCCGTGTCTGTTAGAAGTTTTACAGAATTGTAATGTTCTCCTAATCCATAAGCATGTCTCATATACCTGAAAAAAAGTTAGAAAATAAATATTTAGTTTAAAATATACTAAAATATACTGCACGCCAAACATTAACAGCACTGGACAGTTTAAGTTCAAGCTTTAGCACAGAAAAATAAATGGTCATTAAAAAAAAAAAAGCAGAGTATTAATAAAGGCAGGTTTTAATGTTGGTGACTTTCAGACACAGACTGACATATGCTTTGAATAATAATAAAAAAGAAAGTTTTATTAAAGTTAGTAAGAATTTTGAGAATGGGTAAAATTACATACTTACACAAGTATTATTGGTTTGCCTGAATATTCTTCACCAACGATAATGGAAGGGGAATCCATCTGCACCACCTCAATAGGTGTCTGCAGAATGTGCGACAAAGCCCTTAGCTGTAAGGCAAAAAACCCAACCATTCAGTAACACGATTAAATCCAAGTGGGGAGCAGACATACTATTTAGTTCTAGCAAACATGAGTTTAGTTATAACATTTCAAATTTTGTTACAAACTAGACTTTATTAAAAAGCGAAATAGCTTCAGCTTTTCCAACTAATTAATTGCCGTAAGTTATTTATTATCTTGATAAAAACACACAACATTGTGCTAGCTACATAATAACTTCAAAAAGCAGTAAAAAAAAAATATAAGGACATAAACTAAAACGTACTTTCTCAACCTTAAAGGTTATTAAAAAATCCAACACTGCTCCATTATAGTCAGCTTTGTTACTATAGAATCATAGATACATCAAGGTTGGAAATCACTTCCAAGAGCATCTAGTCCAACTGTCATAGAATCACAGAATTGCTCAGATTGGAAAAGACTTTAAAGACCATCGAGTCCAACACAACCCGACCATACTACCCTAACTCTAGCAACCCACTGCTAAATCATGTCCCTGAGCACCACATCCAAACAGTTTTTGAACACATCCAGGGATGGTGACTCAACCACCTCCTTGGGGCGCCTATTCCAGTGCTTAACAACCCTTCTGTAAAGAAGTTTTTCCTGATACAAAACCTGGTGCAACTTGAGGCCATTTCTCCTCATCCTGTCACCTGTCACCAGTAAGAAGAGACCAACTCCCTCTCTTGCTGCAATCACCTTTCAGGCGTTTGAAGAGAGCAGTAAGTTCTCCCCTCAGCCTCCTCTTCCCCAGACTAAACAACCCCAGTTCCTTCAGTCTCTCCTTGAAGAGCACATTCTCCAAGCCCTCACAAGCCTTGCTGCCCTTCTTTGGACCTGCTCCAGCACCTCAGCGTTTTCTTTCTCTACTGAGGTGCCCAAAACTGAACACAGTCCACCTACCACCAACTTACACAACAAAAAAATGCTTTCTTCCCCTTAAGACAAAGTTTTCCCCTAATGCTACTGTCATTCTTTCTAACAATATTTTAAGCTACTGAATTCTTTACCTGTTGTCAAACAGAACATCAGTAGACCTTCAGAAATGCCAACATGGAGAAAATTGCAACAGAAGAAAATTATGTTTCCCTATCCCTACAGGCACTACTTCCTAAGAAGTCCCTTTTTTAAAGATAAATTGATAATTTGCAAAATTCTGAACTGAGTGAATACGACACTTACTTCCAGTTGACCACCCCACGCAGCCGTATTTGCTATATCATCACAGTATTTTGCAAATTCCTCTGTGGGGAAACAAAAAAAAGTCAACTGTTAGTAGTTGAGTAGTTGAGAGCTAGCAACTAAGGAAAAATAACAGTTGCACAATGAACAACTAGAGCTTGAAAAGTCCAAACATGGGAAAATATATATGCTCACTAAAAAAAAAAAAAAAAAAAAATAAAAAAAAGCAGTAGAAACCAGAAACAAAAAGCACAACTGTTTTGGAAAGAAAAATGAAGACTGAAGACAGAAATAAGGAAAGTTATGGGGGAAAAACAGAAGTTTACATTTTAAACTTTTTATTCAAGGAATTGTTAGTAACAAAAAGCATGAAATTGCATATGTGTTTCAAAAATTACTGTTTTGAGAGCCTAGAATAGAATATGAAAGCAAGTATTATGCTTAATTCTTAATGAGATATATTTTTAGTATCTTGTAACTGTATGTAGTTGAGCTGTTGCTTTTTGAATTCCAAATTAGCCAAACAGTTGTTAACTTCTACAGCATTTAGAACACAGCAGAACCAATACACTAATGAAGTTCAGGAACAAATATATAATAACGACTCAGTCACATCTCAGCTGTAACAGAGGGCAATAATAATATCAGAAATCATTATAATGGTTTCTAAAATGTTTTACACTACAACTCTTACCTTTGCTATACATCTCTCCAGTATTGGGGTTTGTAAGAAATGGCAGGAAGTCATCAAAGTGACTTTGAATATACTTTGCTGTTTGATTTCTCAGAGTTGCAACAGTCCAGGAGTTGTGGTGATCCTTGAGCTGATCTTCAATAGCTCTGTACATGCAATGGCCATCTGAAGGAATCTGTTTAATCTCCAAGTACCTTGCTGCCAACAAGGAGGCAAGTTTCTGACTTTCAAGATGCCTTGCTCCTGTTAGATTTTCTATCTCAGCTTCAGCTATTCTTTCTTCTCTTTCTTTCTCCAAGGCAGCTTTTTTTTCCTTAGATTGTAAACATAAATTATATTAACTATTAGACTTCAGAAGATGTCTATACAGCTCTTCACTTAGTAGTTGTCTTTAACTCTTTAACTGAAATGCTTCCTCAGTACATTGAAGTTTATGAAACGTTCTCTGAAATCAGTACTAAGTTTCAGAAACCTAAACCCAAGTTTTAGCAAATGCTAAATGACCAATAAATCCCCAAACTCACAAATTTACAAGAACTTCATTATTAAGGTTCTTTTGTTGAATCTGTGATGTTCTATTACTTTCATTTTTTCCACATATCCTATGGTATTTTACTTTATTTCTTTGTTAGTAATTCCAGTGTAATTCTTACAAAACTGTTTGGTTTTTAGAATTGTTTTTTTTTTTTCCTGTCTTCTACCTCCTCATCTATTCAGACTTCCAGCTGAATGTAAAGGAGTGCAACTATTTTAAAAATGCTTACAAATGACTACATAGCAACTTCACAAGTTTTCAAGACATCCAGTAGGTGCAAAATCAATACTGAATTATCCAGATAATGCCCTCTGTAAAATCATTACCAGCTACTACAGTTTATTTTAAATGAACTTAATCAAATATTTGTAAAATGTTTTGATGTTATCATACCCGTCTCTTCTGTGCTTTTGATATTCGAGGATGCTGAATCTGCTGCTCCCGTCCCTCAAGCTTGAAATTTGCAACACCATCAGCTATAGAATCTATCTGAAAAGAGAAAAAAAGGCATTAAAAGTTCTTATTGGTATAAATAATCGAGATGAGCATCTCCTAAAACAATTTTAAGCTGCTCCAAGGTAGTCTCAATGTATATGTACAATGTTTTTACACAAAGATCAGCACGCCACAAAGCCTCTCATAGCTGACAGTCAAGCGTTTCACATCCCAACCATCTGATTACCTTTTTCCTTTCATCTCAAAATATGAATGGTTGTGAATTGCACAGTTCTGTATGTTCTCTTACAGGCTTCCACAGTGAAGCTTGAACACATGCTTACTGGCTGCTGGGGAGTTTTCCTCTCCTTGCCTGTAGATGCATGTTAAGCTGAAACAGCCAGAGAGCTGTTACCAAGTTCAGTGCTAGTTAAATCAGAAGGCTCCACCCTTCTTAACAAAGAATAAGTACTTGGAAGAGACCAAGAATTGACATTCCTAAGACAGAATGTCAAAACTCATCTCATTACAGTATGAACCAGATGCTGCCCTGGAAAGCACAGGTGTACTTTTGATCTGAATAGAGAAGTCAAGAAATAAATCTGAGAAGACCAACAGGTATCTCAAACCAAAATCCTCACAGTGAAATCTATGATTGCCACAGGAACTTTAGCTACTACTTTGACAACTCATTGGCAAAAATGAAGCAAATCACTGAAACTAATCTAAGAAGCATTACGTTTAATGCTTATGAATTAAACACCTGCTTAAGAATCTGATTAAAGACTACTACATAAGGTTTGCATAGGGTTATAGCGATCGCAACTGAAAATGTTTTCAAAAGGAATCTCAGTAGATTCTTCTGAGACAAGGCAATTTGTCTGAAAGTCTTTCACTAACCTTTCTCTCTTGTTTTCAAGCAATAGGCCAACCTGCTTACTTCCTCCTGAAGTTAGAAAACATTTGTGTCCAGAAAGCACTGCAGAGACAGGTTTTTGTTTGTTTCTTTACAAGATTTACATAGCAAAAAGTCGAAGTTAGGAAGTCACTTAAGGAGACAAATGAGCATGGAGCATAGCATCATTCACAGATAATGTGCCAATGTGCCCATTTAGCTGCAACCTGTACTGCCATTTAGATAGAAGAAAGTATATGAACAGGCCTGCTTGCATCAACTGCATTTAAACTCAAGTACATGTTAGAAATAAGGGTTTCTTTCAGGACTGGATATACAGAATTAAGTCTGTGGAATGCAAATTGTTTGCAATGGGAGTTTCAGTCACTTTATTTAGTAATTGCTAAAACATAGGCTAATTTCTGTACATTATTTAATTAAATGCTCATATATAGTTTACTCGTCAGTATTTCCTGCAGTTAAACTGGAATAATGCTAAGCCTCTGTAAAAAATTAAGCACAGCACACTGGAAACATTCAGGTAGCTGTACTGCCAACAAGGACTAATAGCAGCCTTTAAGTCAAAACTCTCATGACTACAGGAAATGTATTTGCAAAAAAAGAATGTCTCCTATAATGTTGCCAGAATCACAGAACCAATCAGAATACATTTTTCAATTGCCTACTGAAGTTCACCAGTCCAGTACTCGAGTAGCCTACTGCTTACGGTAACGAGAATGACAACATAACGAGAACTATAAAAATGCATACTGTTTATTAATTAGCCTGAGCTATTAACTTAGCTGTAAGAGCAAAACCAAATACTGTTCACCATTAAGAATGCAAGTAAATGCTTCTTCCAGCAACGTTTGCTTAACCAACATAGCAGCTGGATCTTTCCAAAGATTACAAGAGTTACTACAAGGAAATACAGTGAGGAAAAGGAGAAATGCTTTAGAAAATTACACATTACTTAATTATAATTTTTAAAAAAGTTAAAGAAGTTTGAACACAAATTGTATCTACACAACTTCAGCTGAGGTTAAGGAATATACCTTATTCTGCTCGGGCATAGTTTCCTTCAGCTGCTTTAATTCTTCCTTGTGCTTCTGTTCAAGTTCTGCCTCTAGTTTGGCAACTTCTTCAGCCAGCTGTTTTCGCCTCTTTTTATCATTCTTGGGAACAGCATTTTTCATGCCTTGAATTTTTGCTGTTAAAATAGTGTGATAAAATGTTACAGCAATTCCACAGTCATGGCCTAAAGGAGGACTGCTAGCCATAAAGAAAAAATTACGTATCTCAAGATACCAGAATGCTTTAACAGTTCAGATATCAGGCTGCACATCACACCACATTTTACATTACATATTTCTTTTAACAGTTGAAATCATGACATTGAAGTGTTCTATGCTACTATTATATAAAGAAGAATGGGTTCAAGAAGAAGTAATTCAAGCAGGCTTGAATTGTGTGCAGGGCTACCACCCAGCAGATCAGGCTGCCCAGGGCTCCATCCAACCTGGCCTTGAATGCCTCCAGGGATGGGTCATCCAGACGCTTCTCTGGGCAGCTGTGCCAGGGCCTCATTGCCCTCTCAGTGAAAAACTTCCCCCGCTCATTTAATCTGAACCTCCTTTCCGTTAGTTCAAAACCTCCTTGTTCTATCACTATCTACCCATGTAAAAAGTCGCCCTCCCTCCTGTTTATAAGGACCCATCAAGTACTGGAAAGCCACAGTGAGGTCTCTCCAGAGCTTTCTCCAAGCTAAACAAGCCTAAGTCCCTCAGCCTTTCCTCACAGGAGACCAACAGCCCTTGACCACCTTAATAGCTCTCCTCCGGACTCGTTCCAACAGCATCATGTCTTTCCTGTGCTTGGGTCTCCAGATCACAGAATCACAGAATGGCCAGGGTTGGAAGGGACCTCAAAGACCATGAATCTCCAACTCCCCTGCCACATGCAGGGCCACCAACCTCCCCATTTAATGCTAGACCAGGCTGCCCACAGCCCCATCCAATCTGCCCTTGGACACCTCCAGGGACGGGGCATCCACAACCTCTCTGGGCAGCCTGTTCCAGCACCTCGCCACTCTCTCTGTAAAGAACTTCCCCGACATCAAACCTAAATCTTCCCTCCCTCAACTTAAAACCATTTCCCCTCATCCTGCAGTTATCAACCCTTTCAAAGAGTTGATTCCCCTCCTGTTTGTAGGCTCCCTTTAGGTACTGAAAGGCTGCAATGAGGTCACCCCACAGTCTTCTTTTCTCCAGGCTGAACAAGCCCAGCTCCCTCAGCCTGTCTTCACAGGGGAGGTGCTCCAGTCCCCTGATCATCTTTGTGGCCCTTCTCTGGACCCTCTCCAACTGTCTTTCTTGTACTGGGGGCTCCACACTTGGACACAGTATTCCAGATGGGGCCTCACAGGAGCAGAGCAGAGGGGGACAATCACCTCCCTGTCCCTGCTGGCCACCCCTCTTTTGATGCAGCACAGGTTACTGCTGACCTTCTGGATTGCACACACACACTACTGGCTCATGTCAAGTTTTCCATCTACCAGGACCCCTTGACTACTGCCTCTCTTTTCAATATCCGCTTTATCTGAGAGATGAAAATACATCCCAAAACAATGTGCTCCTATAATCACAATACACTGCCAAACTAGCCTTCTGATCAAAGGCTGCAAATTGATCTCTTTCATTAAATATCAAAGAACGCAGATAAGGAAAAGCTCGTATCGATATATAAACAACGGGAAACGCTTAACGAAAAGGTAACGGTCAACCTTTTTTGTTGCAGCTCAACAGAACCCATCTAAAGGATCTCTCAGTCACGCCGTGGTACCGCACCGTATCGGTGAGATGCGGACGCAGCGCTGCAGTGACCGCCGTCACCGCGGCCGGCCGAGCCCGGAGGCCGCAGCGCGCCGCGAGCGATGACACGCGGCCATGCAGGTCCTTTCGGCAAGCGCTTCTGCACTGCCTCACCAAAGCGCGTCTCCCTTCACAACAAACGAAAACAGCACAACGCCGGGCCGGGAGACACACGCTAACGCAAGAAAGCGCCCACCACCGCCGTCCCTTCGGCCTCTCTCGCTGCCGGGAGCTCCACGCGCTGTCCCAGCGGGCAGGCCGCTCCCTGCTCCCGGCCCTCCTCACCTTGCAGCTCGCGCTTCTCCCTGCGCTGCCGCTTGACGAGCTGCTGCAGCGGCCCGCCGGCCTCCGCCTCTTCGTCCTCGGAGCCCTCCATGGGCGCCCGCAGGCCCGAGCCCGCCGGACGCCCTCACCCCGACCCCGGCGGGAGCCGCGTGCTTCCGGCAGCGCCGCGCCGCCCGGCCCCGCCCTCCACCCGCGCCGGCAGTGCGGGGAGGGCCGCGGCGGGCCTGGGGCGCCTCGGTTGTCCCGGCTTCGGGCGCCTCCGGGATCGGCTGTTTGCGCCCCGGTGTCCTGGGGCTGCCCCGCCGCTGAGAGGAGCGGCTTCTCCCCGCCTCGGCAGCCCTCGCGTTCTGGGCCCTGAGCCCGGCGGTGGCAGCGTTTCTTTGGTGGGCGGTGTGAGAGCGCAGGACGACGGTGAGGGAGACGCACGGCCGTGCCTGTCTGATCGATCGTATAAGGCTGAAGCACCCCCTCGGCAAAAACACCGCGGCAAAAACACCTGTGGAGTGGCTTGCTCGAAACACCTAGCTGATCCAAGGCTGCCTATGGGACTGTCTTTAGAAACGGAAAGAAGGACATAGCTCGCTCTGAATATAATGCTTCCTATTTATTTCCATGGAAACTTCAGCAGATACAAAAAGTGCTACATATACAGTCGTGCTGTTTGATAGAGCAAACTCTCAGCCACAAAACACTATTTGTCAGCACATTGCCACCATTAGCTGTGCATTTTCACCAGCAATGAACAGTAGCCTGCATGCTGTCTCCTAAAGATCTGCTCCAGTGGAAGTGACCCGGTGTTGTTGGCACTGCTGCAGAAACTTCAGTGCTCACTGCCTCAGTGTGCTCATATCCACTGTCTGGTCTCCATCAACGTTCAGCAAGAATCAGTGAATGTCAATAGTGCCATTTCTTCCACATGTAGAAGTTCAGTCCCACACTCTGCTTCTTACACACTTCTGTGTCAGATGCCATTGTGTCAGACTGCCCCTCTGCTGCCAGCTGTCACACAGCAACAACACTAACAACGAAACTGGGGTGGGGGGGTCTGAAGCACAAGTCTTATGGAAAGTGGCTGAGGGAGCTGGGATTTTTCAGTCTGGAGAAGAGGAGGCTCAGGGAAGACCCTATTGTTCTCTACAACTGCCTTCTCTACAACAAGGAGGTTGTGGCGAGGTGTGGGTTAGCCTCTTCTCCCAGGTAAGAGTGATAGCATGAGATAGCCTTAAGTTGCACAAGAGGAGGTTTAGGTTGGACACTGGGAAAAATTTCCTCTCAGAAAGAGTGGTGAGGTATTGGAACAGGCTGCCCAGTGAAGTGGTGGGGTCACTGTCCCTGGAGGTGTTCAAGAGAGGTGTAGATATGGCACTGAGGAACATGGTTTAGTGAGCGTGGTGATGATGGGTCAATGATTGGACTGCATGATCTTAGTGGCCTTTTTCAGCCTTAATGACTCTGTGATTGTATAATATGTCACCCTTATTTGAACACCTCTCAGCACAACTGAAGTCAAGATTATGTAGGATTTGGGACCCTCCATTGAGCATGGGAGAGCTAATTCCTTTACTGCCATGCAACAGAATAAATGAGAATAATTGAGAAGAGCATTGCCATGTCTAGCAGGCTTAATTCTAACTTCTCAAGGCCTCAATCCTGACCTGTTAGGTTGGTTATCAGCCTGTTGTGAGAACCTGTTCTTTGAACTGGTGGTTGGTACCAGACATCTATTGTGGACTGTAATGTGGGATAGCAACAAAGGCCTTGAAAATACCAGAACAGGATGAAAATAGAAGATGCAAAAGTGTGAACAAATCATTGAAAAAACACATTGCAAGCTATGAGAAAGACTCCTCAGAGTATGCCAAAGAAAAGCAGCAGCAGTAACTAAGCAAGAGAAAAACAACCAAACAACAGAAGGCATTTGATGAGACCTGAGAAAGTAAGGCTCTCCGTGATCACAAAGCATACCTATAGCTTAGGGGCAGAGAGCAAGGACTGCAAGCTGTCTAGAAAACACATTTTAAGGGGACTAAATTCTGAATTTCTGGAAACTGTCATCATGGGATCTGCAGTCACGATGTCTCTGTGGGATTGCCAGGGCTGTTTGTGTGCCACTGCTCTCCCTGTCTGTGCCAAGGGCACTGATGTTCCATGCCTGCTTGCTCCAGAATTCCTGGCTCCTCAAGGATGTCTTCAGGACCATGTACAACATGCCTCCCCTCGCCCCTCCCACCCCCCCCCCCCCGCCCGCCCAAAAAAAACAAATCCATCCCTTTTTCCTCTCTGACACATAAATCAAATGCTTAAATAAAGCCTTACTGTGTCTAAGTTCAGTTTGACTAATTACAATTTCTGGGCAGAAAGGGTAGTTTAACAGCAAACTCCTAATAAAATCCATTGACTAAAAGCTGAAATTACAAAAAAAGAGAGAGAACTAATATCTCAGGTAACTAACTGTGCTAACTGTGGAACACTTTAGGATATGATAGGTTCACTGTCACACAAGTCTTTAAATCAAGACTTGTGAGTGCTTCCTAATAGATAAGATTACCTCAACTGGCTCTGGCTCCATGCAAAAAATGCTTCTTAAATTCTCTCAGAATATGAAGAAATCATGGATTATCATAACGGGCCTAGAGAAACCTACAACTTTATTAATCTTTTTCATAACGAGAAACTCGATTTTCCCATCCAAGTCAATGACAACTATAAGATGATTTGTGCTTTGCATACTGTCATAATAGACATTTTCAGGATTAGGGGGCAGTTTTGAAATGTATCTCAGTGTTGACAAAATAATCACTGAAATCAGTGACTGAGGGGTTACCTTTGATAACATCTGACTAGGACAGTGACTTTATCAGCTGTTATGTTCTCTTTATTTCATATTTATTGTATTGTAGAATATCTTCTTCCCAGTGGTTCAGGAAGGTCTTTTGTTCACTAGTACTTTATAAAGAAATCAGAGTAGGATGTGTGGTACTTCTGGTACTGGGAAAATCTCAGTTGCTTCTTCAGTGCCAAAACCAGTAAGTTAACGCTGTGTAGCAGACAGTTTTCATGACAGCAGTAAAGAGCATCCAAATCTTACTCCAGCTAAGTGGTATATAAAACATTGGTTGAGCAAAGGGGCTGCATTACTACTTTTAGGTATATATGTTATCTCATTTCCCTCTGTTATCTCCAAGATGTTCCTTGCTCACTGGGCATTAAAATAAATTACAGACTAGTTGCAGCCATACACAAAACTCTTAAAGTGGCTTTATTGTTTTAATGAGGTCTTATTGAGTTTTCTGACTCATGTAGTATGTAAGCAGTCAATCATGATCTGAGATACTGAATCAGAAATGGTTATATTTTCCTTTACTCAGTGCCATAAAATCAGATTGCAGTAAGGTTTGCAATTATTCTATGTGAATTAAGTATACATTAAATTGCACTAAAGCCTCCACAGAATGAAGCATATTCTTATTTGCTTCCAAAATCTAACATGGCATACATGCACATTAAGATGCTTAGATTATATATGTCAACCTTCTACCTTAAAAATGCTAGCCATGGATCAGAGTACTGACAAAGTTATGTTTTCTGGAAACAGTGCAAACAGATTTTAGTCACAGGATACCTGTAGCTAAAATCACTCATCCGTGAAGCTGTTTTCTAATAGCTTATCAACACCATTCTGACAAGTATAGCCCTGTGCATGCTGGTCTTCAGCCAGTTAAATTTGAGCCAGCAGTGTGCCCAAGTGGCCAAGGCCAATGCATCCCGGGCTGCAATAGGAAGAGAGTTGCAGCAGGACTAGGAAAGTGATTGCCCTTCTGTACTCAAAACCGTTGAGACCACACCTCAAATACTGTGTTCAGTTTGGGGCCCCTCACTACCAGAGGGACACTGAATTGTTAGAACACGTGGAGGGAGGAGCAACAAAGCTGGTGAAGGAACTAGAAAATGAGACATGAGGACTGGAATGTGAGGAAACTGGGGTTGTTTTATCTGGAGGAAAGGAGTTTGAGGAGAGACCTCATCACTCCATAACTCTGAAAGGAGGTTGCAGTAAGGGAAGAAGTTTACGTGGGATATCAGGAAGAATTCCTTCATGGAAAGAGTGCTCAGGCATTGGAATGGGCTGCCCAGGGAAGTGGTGGAATTGCCAGCCCTGCAGATATTTGAGAGGCTTGTGGATGTGGCACCTGGGGACATGGTTTAGTGGTGGACTTTGTAGTGTTACATGATGGTTGGACTCAATGATCTTAAGGGTCTTTTCCGACCTAAATGATGCTGTGATTCTAAGTGTCAAGACCTAATACAAATCCTATAATAATCAGTCGCATTTATCAATTAAACAAAATAATGGGGCTTATTTCTGAACTTAACATTTTGGTGCTCACAAAACCAAATTTATTTACCCTTTCTATCTGTTGAACTAGAAAGTGTAAAAAGAGTCACAGATTTCTTTGCAAATTCTATGAAGATTGCTATTGAAAAGTGTGTGTCTGTTGTTGGTAGCAAAATTTTGCCAGGCTCTGTAAATGACAGTTAGCTCAGCAGTTAGAATGGAGAGTTTTCATGAAAACCTATAAGTCTGGATTTTTAAGCAGTTTTCTTGGCTGTGTGTTCAAGAGATGCAACCTATGTTTGACAGGAAGTGACTTCAATGCATACTAAGTTGTCAGAAATAATAATTAAAAAAAAACACTCAGCTGCAACTTTTTACCCTTCATTTCAGCAGAAAAAGGTTTCAAAATTAGATGCTTGGGGTTTCCAGTACTAACAACCATTTATCCAGAGAGTGAATCAGGTTTCATGGGGCTAGCATTGGATGTTATCAAATTTTGCTGGTATAGTCTTGGCAAGAACCTTAATCGACAATCCATGCTCTGCTAAACTCCTTGAAGCTGAAGCAATTTTCACAGTGACAGTTATTTCCTATCTAGACTGTGGAATTTCCAAATGCTGCCTGTGTTATGGCTATAGAGCAATGAAAGAGAATGTCTCAACGTAAGCATACATTTTTTTTCCCAATGATCTAATAATCTTCCAAGACTTCATGATAATGAAAGGGAACAAAAGAGGAACCCTAGGTACTCCTTAAACTGATAGAAAGTGTTACCAGACAATTATTGC